GTTTTTCACTGCTGCTGCAGCTGATATTGATATGCTAGGTATAATACTGTCAAGCTACAGGTAGTTACTACCACACTACTACTCTACTACTACTACTACTACTACTACTACTGGGGAGGTGGGGTAGCCTTTATGTTAAAGCCTTCGCTCGTCACGCCAAAGACCCGGGTTCGATTCCCCACATTGGTACAATGTGTGAAGCCCATATCTGGTGCCCCAGCTTAGTAAACTGCTACTTCTAAAAAGACAGATGCACAGTTTCCACCAAGACTCAAATTACTACTACTACTACTACTACTACTACCACGAACACCACCACTACTACTACTAACACTACTACTCCTACTCCTCCTACTACTACTACTACCATCTGGACGTATTATCAAGACGTTCAATTGACGCGACAGCTTGGATACAGCTTGAATGAAAACATACATTTCGATCCAACAGCCTGTTGCATGCAACAACTCAATAAATTCAAGTTGGTGCAAGCCGAATACCCAGTGCGTTGTGATTACTCCGACTTATTGCATAGGCGCCTTTGCCTGGCCAGAAGCATTATCAGTCGTCATCTTTTCTTATTGCGATCATGCAGATCTCCCATTGAAAGGAGGACCAGAGCAGGCAATGTGTTTGCCACGTGGTTGCTGAGACAAAAATGAAAAAATACAAACAAGAACGTACGTTACCCAAGTTTCGTGTGTAGATATATGCTACCCATCAAAAGTTTAGACTCACTAGTGTAAATGTAGACACATACTTCAGTCAACTCACTCTAAACTAGATTTTGCAAAATATTCCATACTGTTTAAAGGAACTGTTTACACATGAACTGATGTATTGTAAAACAAATTCGTAACGTTGAAAAGATTATTGTCATGAGTTGATGAAACTACGTGAAAATTGACGAATTCTTAACAAAACTTGACACCAAAATGCAGCTGTTCACCTGCACGACATTTGCACATGCTTTTCAGCAATTTGATGTATGTTCCTCGTGCAATTCATCTGCATAAGGTTTGCACTTGGTTCCCCCAAGTTAGTGGAGAAATTCATCTTCGATGTTACCATGTATATATACATAACATATAGTGAGTGCTTTAAGTGAGTCTAAACTTTTGATGGGTAGTAAGTTTTAAGTCCCAAGTTGGTTCAACCCTGCGACTGCTGTTGTCAGTTCTCCTCCTTAGTAGGTATTTTTGTCCTGCCCTCTCAGGAATTGCCAAGTGTTGGTTAGAGTGTCCACGAAAGGTGTCTGGTCCAGCCATACTGATGCTTGGTTTCGTGTTGATCATCCTCTCATTACACACATTCCTTACTTTCACTGGACGAGACGCCAGCTGGAACTGACCCATAACGACACGGTCGCTAACGCATAACGACATGCTCGTTAACACATGGAGACATGCACGCTAACACATGACGACATGCACGCTAACACATGACGACATGCACGCTAACACATGACGACATGCTCGTTAACACATGGAGACATGCACGCTAACACATGACGACATGCACGCTAACACTTGACGACATGCTCGTTAACACATGGAGACATGCACGCTAACACATGGAGACATGCACGCTAACACATGACGACATGCACGCTAATACATGACGACATGCTCGTTAACACATGGAGACATGCACGCTAACACATGACGACATGCACGCTAACACATGACGACATGCTCGCTATGGTGAGGCATTCGCTAGCTAGAAATGACACATAACGACACGGTCGCTATCACGTGTAGATATGCTCGTTAACACATGACGACATGCTCGCTAACACTTGTTGAGACAGTCGATGGCTAGAAATAACCATAATGGCACGGTCGCTAACACATGACGACATGCTCGCTAACACTTGGTGAGACAGTCGATGGCTAGAAATAACCATAATGGCACGGTCGCTAACACATGACGACATGCTCGCTAACACATGGTGAGACAGTCGATGGCTAGAAATAACCATAATGGCACGGTCGCTAACACATGACGACATGCTCGCTAACACTTGGTGAGACAGTCGATGGCTAGAAATAACCATAATGGCACGGTCGCTAACACATGACGACATGCTCGCTAACACATGGTGAGACAGTCGATGGCTAGACATAACCATATGAACATAATGAACACACTCGCTAAGGCGCGACGAGACTGGCTAACACAGGACGGCATGCTTGCTAACACATCACGGGAACTGGCAGGAAGTGACACATGATCATACGCTCGCTATGTAAACAACACCTGATGCAGTCACTGACACATGGTGCTAGTGGGACATAATGTCACACACTGTTCACACAGGATGACCAATAGAAGAGACATGACGAATAATGCACTCGGAAAAGCGCGATGAGACACACACACGGGACACTCACACACACACGATGCTTCGCTGATAATGGAATCTGCTCACGTGGGGCATTGTCTTGCTGAACATTAACGACTACACGTTCTTAAATTCCCGATGCTGAGTTCATTGCTTTTGCGTAATCTAGATTGTTTTTGGTTTCATAATATATATGAACAGGACCCGGTGGTACAATTCCTTCACTGCTTTATACCACTATACAGGGGCGGTGGGGTAGCCTAGTGGTTAAAGCGTTCAGTTGTCACGCCGAAGACCCGGGTTCGATTCCCCACATGGACACAATGTGTGAAGCCCATTTCTGATGTCTTTCGCCGTGATATCGCTGGAATATTGCTAAAAGCGGCGTATAAAAATATATATAAATCCACTCACTCACTCACTCACTCAATCAATTATATCACTGTATATAAAAAGCGCGCAGGAATTCTACCACCGGATGCCGGACGTAATGTTACATGTTGGTTCGACAGACGTAATATTACATGTTACATCAAAATATGACACTCTTAAGTTTGTTGACCTTCGACCCCAGCCTGTCATGTAGCTGATTATATGGTAAATTTAACCTTGCTGTAAAATAAACCAAATCACGTGGGTAATTACCTCTGACATCTGGGGTCGTTATCGCTGGCATGTGGTGGCCACGCAATAGGCTTGAATATCATTACTTTTGGAAGTGTGTGTTTAGATCGCCGAGGAACAAAATTGCCAAAGGCGTGTGTTTTTTCACGCGGAGTATAACCTATGCAACGAGTTATAAATAAATTCTTATGTTCTGCATGTTTGATATTCAGACGTAGAATCACAGTTTGTATACACATGATCTGGGCCGCGTCACTTCTGTGTTAAGCCCCGAATGTTGGTTAGTTAACATTGGACAAACTTCAAAATTGAGAAAATATTATCTTGTTAACGCCACTTTTAAATTAGCTTATGGATGCTGCGTGCACAATATCTGTATCTGAAGGTGTTGTATACATACGTAGTCAGGGCACTCATACTGCTTAAACTGAGCCCTCAACATGGGTGTGTATGTACCGGTTACAGTCGTCAAGTAATTGCATCAGACCTAGGGAAATCAGCCAATTTTATTTTCTTTAATTGAATTGATTAAATGCCATCGGCAATTTGCAGACTCCATTTTTTGCAGGAAAGATTTAGTGCTACCTAATTCCGATCTCAAGAACTGTTCGATTATGTGTCGGATGGAATTTTCGAAAACGAGAATTATGCATCAATGGATCACAAGCATAATTAAGTTAATTATATCCTCACAATTTCATGTCATATGATCAGATCTACCATAGCTTCAACAGGTTGTCGATGACGTTATGCCGTTAGCTTTAACGACCACTTGGAATAATTGCTGAATTCAGCATAAACGATGACAGTCATCTTTAAAGCCGATTTGTGATCGAAATTCTGTCCATGCTCACTTCTATTGATTACATATTTCAAACATCGAACCACAAAAGTGGAATAGCATGCCCTAGTGAGCAAGGCTTTCTGGAAATTCCTACTTCAAAACTCTTTTTTCACTATTTTGTCATTATGTATATGTTTTGAAACTTGGTCCATGCTCAGTCAATACATGCACCCGTTTTAATGTATAAACGCTAAGTAGCATAGTCACGTAACTTGTTTAGTGTTTTGGTATGAATTAATCTGAAGCTCGTCTCGTGCCAGGCGCGAGCCCGTTACCGGAGCCTGCTGACTTTGGGAAAGTTAATTAGGCAGAAGTTAAGTCAGTGGAACTGGTCCGTTCATTAGATGAATAGCGTTATGGCAGTAGAACTAGGCCGTGTAATGTTAAGTGTGAGACGGGATTGCCTCGATACATTACCGCCATATACATGGGCTTATCACGCTACATTGAAACTGCATAGGATTATATGAAATGTCTCGTCAATTGCTATCTTCAACGCTAATGAGCCGGAATGCATATACACAGTTATTTTAGTCTTTGACAAGAGCTTTGGAGCCAGCATGACAACGTTGTTAATTTGGATGACGAAACAGCTCGTTTTGTTAATAAAATTGTTTTATGTAAAAAACGTGTATTAATTCCATTTGCTGGCTTGTAGATCATCTTCGTACTGTTTATCAATCATATGGCACCAACCTTGACGGTCCATGAGTTGGATCTTTTTTGCAAAATGCGAATAAACGGAGACCAGATTCTAAGAATAGTTACACCTACTGCAATATTCTGTACCCTTTCACATTATTGCTTGATTAGCATCGCAGTTGTCTGTGTCAGATTCGTGGGTATTCTGCTGGAGGCTATAGCCACAAAGCATCCGCAAAGTATGCGCCGTGTCGATATGCAGACAGTAATAGATAGTTCACCTGCCTCCCAGACACGTCTTCGACCGTTTCATGCTGGCTTTCATGGTTATCAGCTGTTTTGAAAGCATGCCAAACTTTCGACTTCTCTTGTGGAGTGGGTGAAAATATTTTCATAGTTATCTAAGAAGGGTTGATTGATATGTGCGCCCTGGCAAACCCCTTGTGCGAGTCTTACCAATTATCTCCCTTGAATTTGTAATCTGTCTTCCTCGTATTTCTTATTCGGATTAGACTGAAATGATGAATCCCTCTAATATTTTTTCAGACCTACACACCAACCGGTTTTGATACGTTCACATCCACCTATAACGTATCGGAGACTTACAGGATACAGATCAGCATATGGGATACATCAGGTAAGAGTTACCTCCCCTTTCTAAAAGGCTCGCTGGCTGGTTAATTAGCCAAACTGTTACACGGGTCGTGTGAAAATGGAACTAATACCCATGATGTAGATTCTCCATGATAAGAGGTCTCAGTACCATGTGTGACATGGATTATGAAAAACATATGTCCATTGCCAAGTCTAATGCATCTCATTCATCACACGGCGGATATTTTCCTCTGTGAAGGTGTTGGTTTCAATCCAAGGGACGTTTATTAACAAGTCATACACCTAATGAGTTAGAGGGACGGTGTCAAGGGAAATTAAGCAGATAACCTCGTATTGTGTTTGTCTTTAATCATGTTAATTGTAGGCCTTGTAGATGAGGCGTTTGGGTTTTGAGAGTCAGGAAATCAACGCGGCGGGGGTTGACGTCACATACTCTAAGCAATGGAGGGAATGGGGACCATTCTGTTCAAGAATGTCATGTTGCTTGCAGACTTTAGCGCGGGATCGTGAACATGCTGGGTTCACTTTGGGAACACGCAGGTGTTCGCTTGTTTCAATAGACCAAAGTCATTATCTAGACAGATAAACGCACCGCCTGACACCAGAGAGATAGTGTCACAAGACGATGTACGATGTAAGCATTTTTGTCAGAATTAGGTTGCACAATAACTAAAGACGTTTTGTATCTTTGTCATACAGAAATTTGGTATCAATAAGAAACCCTTATTGCTTCTACTCTCCTGTCTAGTGGTTAAATCGTCCGTTCGCTAAGCCGAAGGCAAGGACTCAAATCCCTGTAGAGTTACCTTGTGTGAAGCGATTTCTGCTGCCTACACCCTGCCATGAACTCTCACACTCCACACACACACACACACACACACACACACACACACACACACACACACACACACACACACACACACTCTCTCTCTCTCTCTCTCTCTCTCCACACACACACATACACACGCATGCACGTCGTCATTTGAGCGAAATATTCTCAAGCACGACGTAAAACCCAGTTTCACCTCACCTCACCTCTCCACCCCCCACCCCCCCCCACACACGAACACACATACACACGAACACACACACACTAGCACTAACACTCTCACACACTCTCTGTCTCCAAACTCGACCCGTGAAGATCCGGGGTAGAATAGGTGTTCAGCAATCCATGCTTGCCACAAAAGGCGACTATTCTTGTCGTAAGAGGCGACTAACGGGATCGGGTGGTCAGGCTCGCTGACATGGTTGACACATGTCATCGGTTCCCAATTGCGCAGATCGATGGTCATGCAGTTGATCACTGGATTGTTTGGTCCAGACTCGATTATTTACAGACCGCCGATTGCTGAGTGCGGCGTAAAAGTAACCTCACTCACTCACTCACTCCCCACACTCTCTATCTTTCTCTCTCTTGATTTCTCTCTTTCTCGCTCTCTGTTATGATTGTTTGAAACATGAACGTAAAGACGAACGTGTACAGGAACAAATACGTTTTATCCATAGCTCCTACTTCATATCCAGGCTGCTAAGTCTTCCACCGTCGGTGGTTCTCCTCTGGTCCACGTGGTTGCTAATGGTTTTCCATGACGTGTAAATGTTACAGCAGATTACTTCACAGTGGGGCTGACTTATCTCATTCAGCTACTCGACACTTGCACAACACTCATGGGGATTGTCAATAAAAATTCCAGAGATTTCGCTGAACAGGGTAAACAAGGTGTCTTTCAGCTGACGGGCAATATCAAAATGTGCCAACATTCTCAAAACACTGAAGACAAATTGTAATTTAATGCATTTCCGCAATGCTTTGCATAACATCCCTTTGATATACCAAGGCGTTACTCAAGCAAATCCACAGCATATGTAGAAACAAAGGTTCGAGTGCGTCTGACTTCCGAGAGGGTTATGTTTACAGGTGCCCGCAATCTTAACTTTAGGGGCATTCGAATTTAAGATGGTGCATATCAATCCAGTTGAAGATTGTCTACCGGCAATGAACCCCAACTTCATGAAGGAAAATGGAACTTTAGCGTTAGCTAAACAATGTGTTTCGTGCTCTTCCGTTTTTGTTCGCGAAAAACATTTCTGAAAATGTACTGCGTAACCTGTACCTCTAGTATCAGTTTCCATCTGCGAAAACTTAACGTTAACTCATTATGCAACAAAGCTACGGTCTTGGACTCAGTAAACTTGCCGTTGTGCCTTGTAGGGTTCTTGCGACTGGTGCAAATTGTGAATGGCGGGAGATGCTGGTAGAGCTGGACACGGTTACCCTGTTCATGGGCACGTAGTGGTCGCTCACTATTAGTGGTCAATTCATTTATTTTTCACCATTATTATAACAGCCGACTGTCGAGTTTGATTATTCTCTGCTTTTGATATGGGAAACAGTGGACTCGCTGTTGGAATAGTGCTCAGACTTGTCAGAATATTGGCATGAATAGACGTGGTCCTGTTCATATGCAGTTCACCAACGCTGCTGTTGCAGAGTAGATGGATAGTTGCTGTATTCGGCAAACTTAGGCTTCAGGCCCAGACCCACTGAAACACATGTGATGAAGCAGTGTCCTCGTACCGAGTGATTCGGGATCGTATAATGCACTCCTCTCAGAAAAGGAGAGCTTTATGAAAAGGGTCGTGTGTTTTTTTTCGAAAATACACATCTGTTCACCCAGCAGTGCATGGGTACCCGGTAGGATCTGATGGTTATGCGGGATGCGAACCTATCTCTAGGATTGCTTAGTATCTCGGAGTACCGAGAAAACAGTGAACGAGGTTATGGTCGTTATTCCCCGAGCATTGTTATCGACATCGATACATTTCTATTTAAATGCATTTATTGTCATCGATATATGGCGAGCATAGATAATAGTAACTCGATTCCCAGCGCGAATCCTATCAGACTAAACAATACCGAGTATTCATAACAAGGTTGTCTGTGGCCTGCTGTTGTAACAGAATCTCACCTACACTCTTGACCTGTTGGCGAAGGTCAACGTGCTTCCAATGTTTTATTAAAAAACAATCGAAAATCCAGGAACCACCTCTCTGCCCGGAGACGACTGGTAAGCGGGTCTGGACGGTCACTTCCTAACGAAATCCCACGAGATTTAGGAATACAATAAACACAGGATCGGACTAGTGTATAAATGGAAGCCTTCCCCCAGCCAAAGAAATTGGATTTTTTTCAGAAGCGCAAATCTGCCAATGTGGTATTAAGGGTCCCCGCACCGTGAAATTAGCAAACATAATTAGTTTTTTTTTGTCTGGCTCTTTAAACATGTTAAACGGATTTTATATTTTTTTGTGAAAATCTGATTCAAGTTTGATTGGCATTTGTGATTTTGGGGGGAAACGCGGTTTTGTTCAAAGAGATCATGAGTTAAGAGTTTATTTGAATAAAAGGATTTCTCAATTCTCAAATGTGGCTTGTATCGATTTCGTAGGCAGCAAGTGTATTAGTGTTGGTTGTGTTTCTCCCCTGGGTCCACAGTTGGCAAGGTCATCGGTTCTTCTTGAGGATTGGGTGGCAGGAAGGATATTCCGAGTGTCACTTTAAGAGGATTAAGGTGTTGGATAGGACTCAAGTGCACCGTGTCGCGCGTTGGATATCAGCTCACACATATTCCGATTTGTAAAATTGTAATTTAAAAAAACAACCAAACAACATAATTCATGGAAAAAGGCAGAACAAGTAAAAACAGCTACACCCGTGCAGATTTGGAACGCATTCCGATCTCTGGTATCAAATCCTGATTTGAAGACGTCTATTAATTATCATTATCTGTTCTCTTGAAACCAAGTGCCCAAATCATGCCACAACAACGTCTCCAGCCTATTTCAAGATAGGTGTGTGCGCTTCCTACACCCCTAAACACTTGACCTTATCTCCTGGCAAAGGGAAAGACCTGTTCTGTCTATGACATACCGTCGAGTTGAGCAAACAACATCAAGTGGCTTGACTTGAAATATGTTCTCACGGAACTATCACCGTGTCCTGCCCAGCATATTTTTCTTGTGAAAAGAATCTTTGTCATAGAGACCACTCCAAAGCACTCCAACTGTCTAAACTATGTCAGATAAATCCCGATTGCCGACCGCCACTGCATGATATTTATGTTTTATCTTGGCGATACCGCAGTGGTTGTACTGAAGAAGATAGGTTTATCGCCTTTCTATTAAATTAAAATATGATAAACCCAGCCCTCAGCTGTTTATTGAGCCATGGATAAATTTTGATTTGTAAATGGAAATATACATGGTTTGAGTCTTGCGATGGAGCTGTGTTACAACCCTTAGAGAACTGATTAAGTCCTTGCCACCGAAAACCTGGTGATTTGTGTATTGCTGACAACGTGTGTCACACTAAAGCAATTTGATGTGAGAAGTGTCATGCGATGTCAGACCGTTTATAATCACTACAGCCTCTGTGCAATTGCAATAGCGCTGTAGTGCAAAGATTCTAATTCAACAAGGAAAATGTGTTCATGTTATGGACGTCTTTCCAACACAGGCAGATTTGAAATTGTCAGAACAAGTCGCTAATCCTGTGCATCTTCCATCAACAGTTTCAGGTTCTTTTAACACAACAAAAGCTTCAGTCAACCAGAGATATCCGCCGTGCCTTAATTAGCATTACTTCGCCAATGTTAAACATGTGCAAATCACACCAAGGTATTGTTGGCCAACCCCGATGAAAGCTTCGGTGATACGTGCCATAACATTAGGATCCCTTGCCCGCCCCATAACGACCCATTGTCCTACAATTGAGACAGTGTGCGGATCATTACAAAAATGTTCACGCGGGGCTGTTGAATGTTACTTCTTTGCACGTTTTTGCTAGCAAAGGCTGAAAAAGTCCAGTCCTCTGCATGTGTGCTCACAGTGATTTCGGCAAATAAAACTGCATTTCTGCAATGTATTGAATATTCTTCCAACCATTTTGCACGATTAATTATACTCCTGGCGTCAATGTTGACATTTTATTTCACGGCTTGACCCTTAAATGTGGCCAGG